CTGCAGAACRAGCTGAAAGGGAAGAAGGAGACAATGAAACGCAGCGCAGGAAGATGCCAAATCAGTCAACCCCCACCCCACGCACACACAAGCAGCGCCAGCTGTAGTCCAATTAAACTTAATCTAGTCACATGCTCATGTGTTCCTCAGAAATTAGAGGAAATCAATTCAAATGCTAATGAGAAAACCCATAATTTATTATCTGCTGAGGAATGCATGTTACATTAATTTTAACTGTAAACAATTATTTTTATTGCAAGATTAATTACTCCATCTTACACAACTTCCTTTTTTCATATTTTTTGAAGGAATTAGTTTTCTGCTGCTGTTTTGTTGATCTGTCACTGTATTTTAAGCCTGGAAAAGTATAATTAATTTAGGGATACTGCAAATGTGGTTTTCTATTCTTCTGTCAAAGGAAAGTGGGATAAATGCCTGGGGCAAAATACAGAAAGATCTGGCTGAAGCTCTTGGCCTAAACAAAAATACAAGAGCTGGGAAAACAGTGTATTCTTTTTTTGGGCGCTGAAGTTAAACACGTAGGGTAAGGAAAAAGAGAAAGTTTAAGCCAAAGGGAAAGTTAATTTCTCAAGTACTGGCCAAAAATCATAAAAGGCAGAATTTTGAGTTAACACAAAATATCATTCAACCAGAGGAGTGATCTGCTTTATTTTTAATTGTTACCTTTTTACTTGACACTTTCTTTTCTTCCCTCTTCTTCACAGTCAGAACGTTTCCAGACAYCTCGGGGACACAACACAAGGCGGCCCCGCGAAGGGAGCAGCGCTTGGGGACGGGCCGTCCCGCTGCCTCGCTGCCCGTGACACAACCAAAACAACCCAAACAGCATTTATGCTGTCAGCCCACAGGCATCTTGGAGTTGTCTGAGAAGCTCATTGTAATCTTAAAGAAAAGTCCATAGTAAAATGACTATTATGCTAACTTTTGAATTAATTATTTTTGGGTTTCATTTTCAGCACCAATTCTAACGTCTTTATCAAAASAAATACCAACATGAGAAATGCATTTAAAGAGTTAATTTAATGGCTGGACAAGCAAGAAATATCATCCAATATATGGTAGTTTGAATTCATATCAATTAATAAAAATTGGCTCAATACAACTCTGAATCTGAGACTTAAGCTACAACTGAATAGGAGATTTTATTTATTGACAAGTATTTTAATGCCACCATTGGCCACATTACTTTACGTGAAATATGCAGCATATGTAGCTCTTTTCCTCTTTGCCAATCCTTCACGAAATTGATTTTCACTTCCACTAATTTATTAACTATTCATAATGCATTCAATGAACACTTTAAGCAAATCTAACTTTGTGCATCATTTACAAATTTTTATGCTGCTTTCTATGCTTGTCATGTGTCTGGTAAACACAGTCACGTTTCTGTTTATAATAAATGGCTGGGAGACTTTTTAAATGAGACAAAAATGAGACAAAAACATTGCAAATGATAAAACTCAAAGAATAACAGATAACCTTGTTCTGCACAGACAGTCTCATTCCCATACACATAGCGAGACAGATAAAATGCCATCAGTCTTCAAACTGTAGTGCAAACAGAAGGGGCACTGCAGAAAATATGCACGAGAAGCACCTGAGGACGAGTTTCAGAAAGCTGGACAGAACAAACTGTTCGCTCTCAAACACAGTGCTTTCAGTTCTAAATCAAACCAAGGCAGTGCAGACAATCAGGGGCCAGTTTAGAACACATTTAGGGTAACATCTTTGCAAAAACGCCTGATTTCTTTGAATGCATGGAGCTGCCTCTGTCGCCGGGCTGCGGAAGGCAGAGYAGGCAACCCAGGCACAAAAAGAACTGAGGAAACGAGGATTTACACACTCCAAGACCAGAAAAAAACATGTGGAAACCTACAGCAATGGACCTTCACTGCCATTCCCCTCCTCGCTCCCTACAAACACACACACTTCTCATCACAGCTCGACTGCAGCTTTTTTAAGAAAGAGTATCTAAATCTTCTTATAAAAATTTAAGTGATGGTGAGGTCTCTCCCTCACCTAGCAAGCTATTTCTGCATCTAATTACACTCACAGCCAGAAAATGGTGTCTTATTTTAAGATGTAATTGGTCTGCATTTGGCTTCCAGCCATTGGCTCTCACTATGTGTGCTTTGTCAGCGGGACAGGAACCCCCACTATTTATATTTTTCCCTCAGAGGGTATCTGTGTGCTTCTCAACCTCATCTGCTGCAAGCTGAGTAAGCGGAACTCCTTGCTTCTTTCTCCACAAGGCGAGTTCTCCAGCACGTGCATCAGTTTTGGTACTTTTAACCCAATGACCTCCATATCTGCCTCTTGAAGTGTCGTCTCCAGAACACGGTGACACAATCTTACCAGCAATCTCACCAATACTTGCTGTAGAAATGCATTTGTTTGACTCCTTTCCTGCTGCAAACACATTTTTCCTCACGCATCCAAGAAGCCCTTTGGCTCTTGTAGCTGCGCTGCTGCACTGACAGCTCACACTGAGCTGAATAAGGGGCTACATTCCTCTCAGGCAGAATCATTGCTTACATTCTTAGTTTCTAGGTGTAGCATATCTTATATCTGGTGACACTAACATGCATTTGGAAGTAACAGCATGCATTATTATTGGTCAGTGAGCATGTTAGCTGGTCACTGGGATCCATTCAAGATTTGTGCTTTTTCCTTATTATTACTAATTCAGTAGTGTTTGCTTTACCTACAGACTTCACCAGTTAATAGTTTTCATCATTGTTTAGTTCTCTGATTAAAATATTAGTGTCAAAACAAACCCAGATCTCTGGGGAACTCCTCTGGAAATGAACCCATCAAATTAATCTCTCCCTGTGCACAAGTATATTTTGATATCTGTCATTGGCCTACTCTTAATCGTTTTAATAAGCATTCTGTTAACCTGGCACTATGTAAGGCTCTTTATTTTTTTCCAATCAACATGGCTTTAACACTAAAAATACGAGCAGACAACTGCAAACAATAGAGTCRCCCTGGCTCAGAAATTAGTGTTTATGGTTTGGACATGCATTTAGCCACGCTAAAGACACATGCCAAGCAAGTGTGGGGTTCTGTACACCTAACACATATATTCCCCCCTACTCTGCATGCCTCACAGGGGGGCAATGACAGAAACATCATGTAGAGCAACATCAGATGCTTGTACAACCTTGTGTGTTATCACGAAACTCCCCACTAATGATTTCCAGCCTGCATCTTCTCAGATGACCCAAAGTTTGTGGGTCTGACGTAGCCTCCTGCATGCAAAGCTGTGCTGTCTACACATTGCACGGGCCAGTTTTCAGAAGAAACTGATAAATGCTTAGTAAAACCTTGTTTTTCTGAGGGTCCTGCAGCCTGGATTAAATGTGTGGGCTGTGTCTAGTGGATTCGGTTTATCTCTTGGTTTGCACATGCTTCAGTTGCAAAGCTTCTGTCAAAAGCTCAGCTGCCGATTTTTTACATACTTACTATATGGTTTTCAAATACGTAAGTGTTCTGCAAAGCTAAAGGCTAGTACTCGATCACAGAGACTGAAATGCTTTCCCCAGAAAGATTCTTCCTTGTTTGGAACCTAACCTTTTGGGTAAATGTGTGAACACAAAGCTTGAACCTTGCAGGGTCATTTGCTGCTTATCAGAAGCCATGATGAATATTTGAGTAGTTGCACAGCCTTAAATGTGTGACAGTTACCTGTGTAGTGCTGTAGTTTCATCACAGATAACGTTGTGAGTATTCCCAATACAAACTCAAACCCGTTATCCTATGAGTGGCTGATATCAGATCGTCTTTGTGGCTCTAAGTATTTGTGCAGATGAATTCCCACTGCTGATGAACATATAGATGAATTTGCTCTGTGTAAAACAAACTCTTTTTCACTAATCAGCCTTTTGCATCTTGACATTTCAGTGGTATAGGGTATACATCCTTTCAGCTCAGTCATCAGAATGTAATAAATCTTCCCACTAGTCTTGTAATATTCTTCTCAATACTCATAGTTACAAAAATTTAACTCTTGACTGCATGTTAAAAATGTAGCGAGGATTGATTGTTAAAGTAAAAATCAATTTGAGGGTTTTGGCGATTTAACAAGCCACAAATGCATTTAAATGTATCACAAAAACTTTGATTGATTTATAACTTTGTAATCCATCCTTCCTCATCTATTATCCTGTAAGTACTATATTAGCAATCATTAGTACCAAGATGAGATTGAACACTGACATTTTCCTGACACAGTATGACCATAACTGGAATCTTCTAATACACAAATGCTTTTACCTGGCTATTAATAGTGTCCTCCACTAAAGATGGACTGGTATTGCCAGCCGTATTGAGCGACTGACATTTGCTATCAATCCTGGAAGTGTCTGCCCGGATGGTTGTACCTACCGGAACAACGGCGGAGTGCCGGGCAGACTGCTCTAATACTATTCTTACCAGTACTTTCATTTATCTCTGTAGAAATACAATCATTTAAAATTAAATCCATCGTAGTAAGGTCGAGGTGGATATTTTTCAAGACCTTACAATCCAAATCTGACTCTGATCTCCATGAAAAAAATTGTTTTTGCATTTCTGCAAGCTTACAACTCCACCATGTGCATAACTTGTCAAGACTTCTGGCCCAGAATAAGACCAGAAGTGATGTCAAATACAGATCAAGGAGCTTACTGCATCAGAACTATGTGCTCTCATTACAGTACTACTTCTTCTAAGGTTTTAAATTATCTCTAAGCAATTTAATGATGAAAGATCAAAAGGTCTCTACAAAAGAATTAATGACTGAGGAGGATTGCCATTAATTTCATTTTAACCAATTATAAACAAAAACTATTTTTGTCACATACACAGTCTAAGAAGGCCGTTCAGTTCTACAGATTACATCCTTTCTATACGCCTGGTTTCTTCCTCCCTGTCATGTCATGTCCAGGCAAATTTTTGAGAGGTGAAAGTCATGCCTGAACTGTTAAACTTCTTACCAGAATCGGATGTTGTGGCAGGCAGTCTTGACAGCAGGTTCTTCCGCAGCAATCGGTGGTCGAGCCCCACTGAACTCCTGCAGCTTCTTCATATCTCACAGGGCTTCAGTGCACTCTTTCACCCTAAAAATGGATGCATGTAAAGGCTTATTGGGGACAATTTCTTATCTCCTTTATACCACTGTAAATAGAGCAAAACTCTTTTAATGCTAGTGATGTCAATTTGCATTTACACTTGAGTAAATCAGCTCAAGCTTTGTCATTTCGATTTGCACTTTTAACATTAAAAATTCCCATTAACATCAGCCAAAATACTTACCTATTTAAGAACATCAARACAATGCCAACAAACAAGGTTTGAGACATTTAAAGGTGCAAAGCATTATACAAATGTAATCTATTTCATAATATTACAAGAATACRGATACGATTGGTCAAGAAAACTGCAAATACATAAAAATTAATATGAATAGTTTGCCCTGCAAAGAAAGAGGGTTGAAGTCTCCCCAATAAGTCAAGATGACTTCTTTAAATCCAGCTTCTCTATATTGCTCACAGGTCCTCTTTATTCACGCCCAATCAAGGAATTTTTCAAGATTTCATCTAACCTTCCTATTTATTTTTCATTTCAGAGAAATGAAGAGTAATCAAACCAACAGCTAAATGTTGCGTTCTAGAATATTTATGAAACAAATTCCTAAGTCTTTTCTATAGATATGTTTTCCCTTCGATGCACTTTCTTTCTCCCAGAGAGCACAGGAAAATTGACACCTTTAAGAGTTTTTTTTTAAACATTGATTAGTTTAAACATTAAGTTGTCACGAGTGTAAAATGAAATTTTACTTACAAAACTTTTAGGTACAACTAAGTACATTAGTAGCATTACTGCACGATTAGTCTTAGCAAATTTAATAGCCTGTCTTTAAGCATCTGCAGGAGCATTGCACCGTTTGCAAGTGCACATTAATTAGTTAATAGCTCATATTATACATTAATATCTCGGCACCAATTCTTCAAAAATTATTCAAACATTTGTCTAACTCATGTAAGTAGTCCCATTAACATCTATAAAGCTACTTTTACGAGCAAAACAGAGTTCATAGGTATATCCAGGATTGAAGGTTTGAGCATCCTTCAACTTCTGAATAAAATCATGGTTTTATATTTGTASTCTTGGTCATGCAAAGAGTAAGTGAGCTGTCAGTACGTTCCAGGCTCTTTATTCCAGCAAGTCCTTGCAGAATCTGGGGCCTTTAGTCATAAATAAATCAGAACAGTTTCCCGATTCATTTCAGTCCAGGAGTTCTTTGCATTTTAAATTTCCTGATAAAATATTACCTTTGTGAATATTAGCAAGTTTTAATTTGTACAGTGTATGGACTGTACTAATATTTTAGTACTACATTTCCGTCCTTTGCAATGAATGATGTTTGGTTAAAAGCCTATTTCCATTATGTTAGATTGTGTGCATATTTTTAATGTGTACATAAACGTATATATAATGTGCATATACAAATATACACACATATACACACAGACTGCTCTTGACACATTTCTCTGTTTTCCTTTCCCTCTTGTAGGTGGCTATTAAGTGGAAACCTAGCACACCAGAAGACATTTTAGATGGCAACAGTTTAACCACTTCAGCCCAGGCTGTTTCTTGTGCAGTGGATTCTGTCCTCCTCACGCCAACAGCACAGGAGGGCTCCTGTTTAGCTGATGGAGACAACGTGCAGATTAGAGACCCGTCGGTCAGCAGCGGGGCAGAACACGGCTCTCCTTTGTTTGCCATTCTCACAAGGAAAAAAAAAAAAATTAAATCTAAAAGTATTTTACACGTAGTTAAAAGAATTAGCAGGGTACTCTCTACTCATTACAGACTCATCCTTGTAATCACGCAAGTGTAAGGAATTCTTTTGTTCTGCCTTTGTATCCGCACAGAAACGGACTGTGTGTGAGCACTGCCTGCATCCCGCACTAATGACGGACCCGCTCCACCAATACCAGCTCATCAAACCTACAGCAATTTATCACCACTTACACTAGTCCTACAGGAGCTYACAGGGTTGCAGTGCGATTTAACAGACACAGTTACCCTAAAGAGCAGAGTAACGGSCTTTTCAGTGTTGGACCCCTGGAATAAAACCAAGAAACAAACACCAAAGAACCCCGGGCTGCAAGGCCAAGGCTCCTGGGCTCAGCTATGAACGTACATTGGCCTCCAGAACACGCATCTGTCCCAAGGGCTGGTCCAAACCCRTGGAATAAACTCCCCCAAAGAGGACGGGCTGCCACAAACCTCAGCCTCTCCACAAATATTAATATAGACTTTGATCTCTTCAGAATCACTTTCATATTGACAAAAGCTAGATAACAATCAGGATATACGTTCTGCTCTAAATCAACAAATTGTCCAAATCTCAGTTTAGTTACAAAACAGTGACATATTGAGTCTCTTAAACCTAACAATCGCTATCACTGGATTCATGCTGCATCCAAATAAAATTTAATTCACATTTAAAATAAAATGTTGATGTATTACAGTATGTTTTTTATTGCTAGCAGTGCTGCTGGCTTCATGAGAACACTTTCTCAGTATACTGCTACTGGGAGTTAAAGTGTATTACAAGAACCATCCTTTTAACGCCATCCTGGCATTAAAACTACAGTTTGGTGAGGTGGAAATTATTTTTTAAAAAATTATAGAAATTACAGTTCACAATGCCAGTTTTGCTATCCGTATATGCGTGAGTATAAAATTTATATAAAATCTCTAGTGTCCAGAACAGGGAGCCACTGACAGGAGCTCTTGCAACGCGTGTTCTCACCCGCACAGCGCAGCCCGCGGCCCTCGTCCCGCACAGAGACAGGGCAGCCCGATGCCCCTGCTGGCTCTGAGGCTGGTTTCTTGCTCTCTCTGTGTGTATAAGACAGAGCTGGACATGCAAAATACACTGTGGACCCTGCAATATCACACACTTCTTCCATCAGAAGTCAGTCAGAAGGCATTGCTACTAGCTCTTTTGCAGCAGCCCATCTTTTCTATCCAAAATCAATCAAGGTATAAATTTGAGAAAGACAGACCCAGTTTTAAATGCGCAMCCTAATGTCACCATACCCACATGCAAGATTTTAATAGTAACACAAATGTCTCACGCAGCTACGTGGAGGAACGACTGTCATTTTCAGGTGTGCTTTCAGGTGAAAAGCACCACAGAAAATTGTTCACAGTTTTAATTTACACTATCATCCCATAATTGTGATAAAACCACCTCTATTCATACACCCAAACGTCCATCCAGACAAAGAAATCCCCGCCGGTAACCTTTTCCCAGCTCTGTGTCAGCCGTTCATTTTCGTTTTGCTGATGCTTCTCTTCTCCCCTTGGTTAACACGTTCCTGGGAAGGCCGTTTATCTCCCTTCCCGAGCAGGCCTTGCTTGGGAAGCCACAGCCATTTTCTTCAGGATGGAAATGCTGCCCTCAAGCTGCCACTGCAACCTGCAACAAGGATGCTTCATTGCTTCGGAAAAGACCCTGGGGACTCTTATTCATACACATATTTATCTTCTTCGTGAGGTACACACAGATTCCCATTGTGCAGCAAAGCTCTGTGAATCCCCAAACCTGCACCTTTCCGGACACGAAGGTTTGCTCAGGATTAAGATTAAACTGCAGCATTTGGGGGAAAAGAGGAGGACTCGTAGCAGAAAGCACTACAGTCACCGAAAGGCCCTGGATCAGAGTCAGACCGTGCCTTTTGCTGTGTTCCTTCCTCCTCATTTCATCGCCTTTCAGGTCTCTGTTCCCTTGCAGTCACCTCTGTCCCCTAAAACCTACGGGTTTCTGCAGCTTCATTCTTGACCCTCGGCTATAATGCTATTATTTTCCTGCACTCTCTCCAGAACATTCATCTACATCCGCCTTTTTAATAGCATTGTTAATGATTTGAGGGGAGTAAATCACAGTCAAGATAATGGCTGCAAAAAATTAATAGACATGATTTTTATGATATAATATACTAGTATACTAATCGTCAGAACAGTTAATTGAAAAGCACTAAATATTTTATTATCCATTTGGTATTCCTTCACCTTTTACTGTTCATACTTCTGTTTATTTTTCTTTCTTCAGAACCCTTTTTACCTACAAATCCATCCAATTTAACAAAAATTGCAGCAACACAGCATCTAGCTACAGCATTTCAAAAATACTTGAGAAACCGAGCATTCAGCTTTGAACACTGAGGCAGAGCAGGAGAGTTTCCATCTCAGTATCTAGAAAATCTGCTGTTAAAGGAAGCCCTATTTTTTCAGTCAATTTTTTAAAACAGGATTTATATTAGTGTGGGTCTGACGCCTGCAGACTCGTCACAGCCATCGAGATGAGACACTTAAAGGGACAGACTTCTTGTCAGTCCCAGCCCCTGTTTTCCCTTCAGTTCTGGCCAACAAGCTCAGAGGGCAAACTCTGCAAGAGACCTTGCATAAATCAAGGGCTTCTTCCAAATCATCACAGCTAAAGCTTGTTTTCTGCACGAAATTCCGAAGATGGGCTTTGTTTTCGTAGGCAGAGGGTTGTGGGTTTTGTTCGCTGGGGATTTTGACTCCGATGTTAACATTTCTCTTACAATATTTGAAAAAGGCAAGGCAGATCCTTTACACAGCCAATGGCCAGCAGTGAAATGATTAATCATGTTGTTTGGTATTTGTAAACACACCTGGGGCTTGCTTAAGTAACAGACTTACTCCTTCCATAAATAAATACATTGACTGAAGGCAAAATCAGTGCAAACTCTGCTCTGTTTTGGGGGCTTTTGATTTTCACATTTTGAGCTAGGTTAGCAGTTGCATATATTACGTATGTAATTTTAGAAACCAAAGAAAGGGCAGCTACCACACTAAGCAAGATTCTCTGTAATAAATAAAACAAAATTCTTTGTGCTATCCACATTCTTATACCCTTCCTGCCAGGGCAGCTCCCTCATGATCCTGTGACTGTTAATGTAGTTATACATTTACACGGCTACATAAAATTGATGCTAAATTAGCAAAGCAGACACTCAAAGTTTAGCAGAAAGCTCCACGTAGTCTGA